AGGGTACATCGTAGTGATATCTCGATTTGTTTTTCTAAAATTCTATTGGCTGCCGATAAATTCCATCAAATGTGATTCCAGATTTAACGCATTAGATAATACTGTATAGTAAGTAAGAACTTCGAACTAACATTAAAATTCGATTGATTACAGGTAACTTTTATGTCTCCCGGTGTCTCATGTCTTGAATTAGTATTGCTAACTGAGAATGTAACAGGCGAAAATGATAAGTAATAAGTTCAATAATATTGACGGTGAAGAGTACGAAGAAGTCTGAGATAATAATATTTGGGAATAATCATAGCTTTTATCAAATAAAGTTTGTGCATTTTATAGTGTTAAATTTTAATTCGTAGTTTTTATTAGAAGAGGGTACAAGTCACAGGGGGATATATGCAGGAAGAATACCATAACTTATACCCCGGGTATAAATCAAAATTTGGCGTTCAAAATTGCATAGTTTACGGGGGTATTGTTTCCTAATATAATAGATCCTTGATTAGATCCGGATACTAATTTATTATTCAAATATAGCCCGCGAGGAGTGGGAAAGTGAGTTTAAAGAAGGAGCAAGGGCAAAATGCGGAACAAGAACAATTAACGCAGGAAGTCAGCGAACGGTGTTGATGTTTTGCTTGAATGGGATTGATATGTGACAGTAATGATGGATATTTTTTAATATAAATTTTTTTACGTGTATTTAGTTGTAGAAAAATATATTTATCGCGAAATAAGTATGGTCATGATAGAGTGTTTGACTAAATCAGTCACAAAAATATCTAGTCCGTTTAGGGAAAGAAATGAGTCTACTTTACAGATTTAATAGAGTCACACGACGGATTGGCTGCATTACTTAATCCCCTGCATTTTGACATCTTTTATATGCATAGATTGAATCCGGAACCTTTTAGTTAAATACTCGTGCGCACAAGAAATTTGATCGTGCGCTCTGCAAGAAACAATCGATAGTAGAGACTTTGCAGGTTTGAGTCATCGATGGCTTGATGTACTGGGCGTAGTGGGTGTTGTAGCAGATTCGTCTGTTGTTTTAGGAGGATCGACGTTATTACTTTAGGCGTTTTTAGTATTGTTGGTTGGTTATTATTATTTTGTTTCAATGTTCAGGTATCGTACCCCCAACCTGATCATATAAATAGCCCGGTCAGTATCTAGACTGCGACAGAAACATTCCTTCGATGCTTTCGGCGAATTAAAACTTTACAGTATGGGTAACAAATTGTGCTGTAGTTTTGAACATAAACATTCTATAATCAATATGTTCGAATCTGTTAAGCGTCTTCAGATGTCACCTTATCAACTAGCCCACCGCACAAATTAAATCCGCCAAGTCAAAATAAGTCTTTTCGGCAGGTAATTTTTCTCCAATATCAACCACTGGGATAACTTTTTTCTTATTTTGCGGAGATTTTATTTTAACAATATATAAGTCATTAGTAGAATGAGGAATAGCCACCCCATTTATTTTTTTCTTTTGTAAAGCATTCTGTAATATTTGTAAATTTTTTTCTTCCAGGATAGCGGCCAGCTTCCTCGTCCGAGCCTTATACCGATGATGCCAGCGATAGTTCCTCCATGCATGTGTCTGAATAATTTAGCGCCAGAGCTAAAATTTGAAATTATTCTCCGCTTGAGAAATCCTACATCTCTGGCCAAATGTTCATGTGAGTGGAACAATATCGCTTCAACAAAAGCCAAGTGGCTGATGGGAGAACCCATGCATCATTTCACGCAGTAAGAATGGGCGAACCTTTATTAATCTCGATGTGGTCGAATGTCTATTTGCGCAGAAGGCGCACATCAGTCGATACTTTATCTAAAGACTGGTGCTCGGAATTGGCAAGTATGACAGTAAATTTGTCGACCTCAAATTGACGCATACCATGGGTACTATCGATCCGCTTTAGAAAACATCAATTCAAAACAAAACCTACAATCTGTGGGCAAGCAACCTTCCCTTTGATGTTTATTTTCGACTTCTCAAAGAGGGTCTGGTGGAGACAATATCCCCGTGCGTGGAAATGACATGGATCTATTCTTTTATCTCTCAGGTGGACCATTAGTAACCAGACAATCGATATTCTCATTACAAAAAAATATAGACGATATCAAAACGTTAATTAGAACGTATAAATTCGTACCATTTCCGCCTAGGCCAAATATTCATGGTTCCGATAGTTACACAAACGACTTTGAGACTTGAATATTATCGCACGGCCTATTCAGTTTCGGTCAGTCTCTGGAAGAAAAATGGTGTTGTTATACTAGGCATGAATTTGACGACTGGGCTTTGTCAAAAAATTAAGCGATTTACAGACAGTTGGCTTCAAATTGACAGACAAGCTTGTCGGAGATGCTCTAATAATATTGGAACACAGGCTAAACTATATAGGCGAAAGAAATGCTTATTGAAGCTTGTGGTATAGTTCGTAAAAAGCCTAAGGGGGATATTTATACTACATTGACAATTTTCAAACTTATCAAACATCAATAAAAATTCTCTATGACTTTTATTGTTGTAGTATACAGTACGTAAATCCCGTCACTATGTAAATCCCATTTGGGTTCCTAAAAAGCGCATTTATGTTATGTAAATCCGGGATTTACATACAACATATTGTTTATAGAAATTGAACCAAACTTTTATTAAGATCGACACATTACTTAATTAAACTCGTCAGCTGTTCTTATTAATATATACACCCTAGTTTTATCAGTGTCCACAATTTCAACTACGATGCACACCTTACATATTAACGTAATTTTTAAAATATCCATTTTCGTTGAATATAAGGTGTCTAAAAGAATGATTCTGTTAACAACAGAAGTACACAGCAGTAATTGACGAAGATGAATTATTAACCAATATTTGCTCGAACAATAAATACGTTGTTAACGTAACCTTCGGTTCAGCAGTATTGGTTAAACTTTATTTATGAATGATTATGCCAAAGTTTGATACGTGATTGGCTTCGCACAAAAAAGATTGCAAGCATCGTATAGTGTACAAACGTACCAAGAATTTCGTTTAAGAAGTTTACAGCCTACCTTGCCGTTTTTCTAGCACCTTAGCAGCTATAATAAATTCTTTGTCGTTCATATTGAAGTGCAAGTATAAAAAGCGAAAGATTGGGTTCAGCAAGAAGCAACGAACAGATAACTACACCCATCCATCTACTAAAAGCATTGGTGATTTTGAGTAAACCATATAAAAATCTTTATTGTCTATACGTACTATGTAAATCACGCATCTGTTTGAAGCAAAAAAAATGTAATAAAAGAGTGGTCGCGATATCTATGTTACACATGAAAATGTATATACAGTCAACTGCCTATAATTCGACCGCTTGCGTTCCGAGGTTATCAATCGAATTAACGTACAAGTCGAATTATCGTCAGTTAATTACAATAGAAATAATAATAAATGTCAAAAAATGGTTTGTAACCAGCGGTCGAATTAACGTATAAATCGAATTCAAGAAGGTCGAATTATCGGCAGTTGACCGTACAACAATTAGCTTCAAAGCAGTATAAAAATTATTGTGACTAATATCGGGCAGCAGAAATGTTCGGGGAAAAAAGGACTTCATATGTTTTGCTAATTGATCACCAATACTTTTGGTCACCCGGTGCAGAATGTTGCAAGACGGTATTTAAGGGGTTTATTTCGTCGACAGCCATTTCAAGGACTGGTCATAACCGACGTTATTTACTATTATGGCGGTTTGGACTGAAACAGTTGCCTTTAGGCAATACGTTTAAGAAACCCGTCCCTGTCAAGATAGTGGCTGACTATCGCAAATGCGCTTAACTTTAACATAAATTTCGTAACTTACCGTTATTGATCCACTATTAGTTGAAGTATCTACTAATGATTTAAAAAAATTCATTAATTTTGTAATTTAAGTGTTTAGTATCAAGATAGCAACACTCGCTTACATATCGAAAGGATTTTCTCTTGAAAATAGAACATCTTTCCCTTAATAGAGTCTGTTATTAGCCACGTGCATAGATTAGTAGTAAAACAAAATGAATACTTCGCTCTTCTTCTTGTACTTAAAGCGTTTTACTTAGTAAAGCTATTTTATGCTGTGAGGGAGGAAACCAACATGAGTAAGATATGATTGTCTATAACTATGAGACGTGCCAGTCAAAGCGTATTAGTATATCATGTGTTTCTGTTAATAATCTACTTGATCACGCCTCAACACTTAATAAAGCCAATAGTAACTGTTAGATATATTGCACCAATTTTTTTCCAAATCTGAAACCAAACTAATCGGAAATTGTTATTTCAAATTATTATTGAGCAATACATTAAAGGGACTCTTTCATTCACAACTAATAAGGAAATTGATGTCTTTATACAGTCAACTGCCTATAATTCGACCGCTTGCGTTCCGAGGTTATCGATCGAATTAACGTACAAGTCGAATTATCGTCAGTTAATTACAATAGAAATAATAATAAATGTCAAAAAATGTTCTGTAACCAGTGGTCGAATTATCGGCAGTTGACTGTAATAGTATAAAAGTCATATCATGCAATAACGACAGATGTCTATAATATGCACATGCTCGTAGCGAGCATACTGTGCGCGAAAGACCTAATGTCGTTTCCCTAATTCTAACCTGCAGTGATACAAACGAAATATTTATACGCCTTATTCTAAAATGCATGAAGGTTATTTGTCTTACCGATGATCTTTTGCTTTCAAATAATTTCATAAGCTGTAAATAAGAATAAAATACTATTTCTAAGACTGACCGACAAAGATTGGACTGAAAAATATTGCTTTACATTGATTCAATGCTTTCGGCGAGTGAAAACTTTCCCGATAATACGGGTATGAGTAAGTAGCGAGTTGTGCTGTCGTTTTGAACGTGAACACTCTATAATCAATATTTTCGAATCTGTCTTTAGATACCATCTCACCTAACCAGCTTCATTGTCCAATCCAACTTGTGACAGTTCCACTATGTATGTCTCTGAATAATCTGGCGCCAGAGCTTAAAGTGGCAATTATTCTCCACTTGAGAAATCCTACGTCTCTTGCAAGATGTTCACGCGAATGGAACAATATCGTGAATTTACCTTCAACAAAATCCAAGTGGTTGATCGGCAGACACGGAAGAACCCATGCATTGTTTCACGCAGTAAGAATGGGTGAGCCTTTTATTAATCTTGATGTGGTCGAATGTTTATTTGCGCAGAAGGCGCACATCAGTCGATACTTTATTCAACGATTGGTGCTCGGATTTGGCAAGTGCGACAGTAGACTTATTGACCTCAAATTGACCCACAACATGGGGGCGCTTGTTCCGGGTCGGAGAAAATCTATTCAAAATAAAATTCGAAGTCCCTGGGCAAGCAATCTTTCCTTTGATGTTTACTCCCGAATTCTCAAAGAGGGTCATGATCGGTTTGACGGAAATGATATTCCCATCCGAGGAAATGACATGGAGTCCTTTTATTACTTATCTGCTGGTCCATTGGTTATTAGTCAAGCGAGAACCAAATTGAAGGAAAACAAAAAGGAGATCAAAACTCTGATTCGGAGATACAAGTTTGCCCCTTTCCCTCCGAGACCGAAACCCCGAAAACATATTCTCGAGAAAAAAGGTGACGGGAATATTGGGCTGAACAATACAGAGTCAGAGTCACGTGCTACTAATTTTGATGACCATCCGCCATCTGATGGGTATGAGAACGTGAGACAACTAACCGTTATTGCACGCGCTATACTCATATATCCCAAGTTAGTTAATGTCTGGAAGAAAAACGGGTATCATGAGATCGTTAACGATGTGAACGACCTGGTCATGCGAGGATCGTTACTTATCCTTTATCCCTCAAGTACTTCCGAAGATTGGGTTAAACCAGGTTTAGCTCAAGTCATTGATGAACTAAAAGATCTGATATTGCTTGGATTCAAACTGACGGATGCCTTGATTGGAGACGCTTTAATCTTATTTGAGCATAGATTAAAGGATATAGGAGAAATACTGATTGATGCGTTTGCCGCCATTCGCGACCTGCCTAAAAGAAAAATAATCTCGATCTGTTTGACTGAGCTGTTGAACCCAGACAGAAATCTCAAGCGACATGATTTACTCGATTTTGTAGTCAACCAAATTGAGAAACCTGAAGAGGAAATTTTATCAATTTTTAAGAAATACAAAATTGTCCATTCTGTAGCTAATTACCGTGAAGCTTTTACTAAATTTAGTACGGGTAATATGGATATCGTTGCAAACAAGAGCCTGTCTATTTTTCAGCCATTTACGTATCTGAAATACTCGCCAATAGTATATCGATATACAATAGTCAAATTTGGCGCTCAGTCAAAAGCGACTAAACATCTAATGAAAGAAGTAACGTCCGTCAGAATTGCTATTACCCTAATGACTGAGGTTCTATCTCAACAAATGCCATCGGGTCTTACGAGTTTTCGCTGGCCAGATTCAATTACTATCTTCAATGAATATTGCAAAGCAAAAGTTCCTTTAAAGGCAAATTTTTTGCCTCTATTTGAAAAGTGTCAAAGCGATTCAGTAATGAAATGTTTGTTTGACGGTTACCTGGCAAAGTTGTTTGGAGTTAAAGTCGATTATCAGCCACAAAGAACGGTTCGTGTTCCGGTTTTGAGTTCAGTTGACCCAGTTGTGCAAAGGACAAAAAAGCGAAAGGCTAATACCAAGGAAGCAAAAAAAGAGAAGGATAAGTTACATCAAAAATGGCGTAAACAATTTTTCGAGCAACTGAACAAAGAAATTGAAAATGGGAAATTTAAAGAATCTCTACAAAAGTTTATGCCACGTACAGACAAGTCCATGCAAGAAGAAGAAGATGCTGACAGCGCACAGTCAAAGCGTGTGAGCGGGAAGTGGTCAGAACTCCGTTAAAACGGTATAATCAATTGAAATAACTTTTAAATGGTTTTTTGACGATCATTACATTTTAAGCTCTTATCTGTAGACTCTATTTTCATATTATGCCTTTACATTAACGTATTTGTTAAGAGTTATATACGACAATTTTGTCAAGAATTTTAGAAATATGGTTGACTAAAGTTCATTTGCGCCAAGAAGATGAATTTACGATTTAAGTTTTTTTTTAATGATAATACTTGGTCCTCAAACACATTTTTACTATATTAATATACTCTCTTGGGTATAAATAAAACCTGTAAGTTTGTTATACCACCATCTTATCTGTTGTACTATTCTACCGGAATCATAACAAGGCTCATGCCGCAGCACAAAAAGTTCTAGTCCGGGTAACTAATATCTCGATTTAATAGGGACAGCTTGCATTACCCCTGCAGATTGTTGTACAATGTATGATTACAGGCAAGACCGTCACCAAATAAGGAAATTGTTCCACAATTGGGTTTTATACGTTTTATAGTACTTTTTAAAGACTTGCGTAGCCCAATCCCGCATGCTTGAGACTGCTAAGAAAACTTGAAGCTTTCGCACAGTAGAAAAGCGTTATTCCTTGAATCCAACCGCCTTCATATTCTATTTAATTAATTAGAATGTCTGAAAATAAATGTTGTGCAGAATGCCAAACCACCAAGTCAACCAGATTCCGCTCAGTGAATGGAGAGAAGTTGAGAAACAGAGTTTAATAAAGGTAACGTGGGAAGAAGGTGTTGTTTTATGCAATACATATTATATGAGAATCCCCGAAGAAGAGGTCCTAAGCAAGCAAAGGTCACTGATGAGGAAGAGGAAGCCATGCCGTCTTCAAACTCGAACTCAGGATAATGGCAAAAATTCTTTATGAAAGGGAATGTGTGAAGAATGAAGGACCCATTTACACTTTGACGAAATGCAAAGTTTACTAGAAGGGAGTGAACCTGATTTAAAAGATTTTTTTACACAGCTTTATTTAGTAACTCGACCGTTCGAACGTAACAAACAAGCGATGGATCGTATGAAGAAAATAACGGTTTTATTTGTTATTTACTTGCTTCATTGAAAACAATACAAAGATTAATTCGTTTAAGTTTGCTCTTGAATACTATCTAGATTCAGCAGGAACAAGTAGCGAGGGATTAAACACCATGACAAACATAGGTGTAAGCAATGGCATGCGGGCATGGTTACCATAGCCATTGCCTGCAACGGTGTCAATTCAAATGTTCTATATGCTTGAAATACCTGCAGAAGAAAAACGTTGATGCATTGATAATAAGTATGAAGATGCATTGATGGGTAATCCGCTAGAACGTGCGAAAATTCCATTTTTAGAACTGTAAAATCTGTAGTCTACAATAAATATAAATCTGCATTGCATTGGAGTTTTGAGCCAGCATTAGCACCTATTCCGGCCAGGGGTTAAGCCACAAAGTGACCAGAGTTACCTTGATCTAAATTAGGTTCTCGTGTACCATAATATGTAACGATAACGGTCTTGCCTGTAATAGTAATGTACCCGCCAATCGGAACTTTTAGCTAAATACTCGTGCCGGCACGAGAAATTCGTTGAATTCTGCAACTTTGCAGGTTCAAGTCATCGATGGCTTAGATGTATTGGGCGTAGTGGGCGTTATAGCAGATTCATCTGTTGTTGTTATGAATATTAAAGGAAGGCCGACGTTATTACTTTATTATGGCGTTTTTAGTAGTGTGTGGCCTTTGTTGGTTGGTTATTATTATTTTGTTTCAATGTTCAGGTATCGTGTCACTCACCCAACCTGGATCATATAAATAGCCGGTCAGTATCTACAGAAACATTCCTTCGATGCTTTCGGCGAATGAAACTTCACAGGTATGGGTAACGAGTTGCGCTGTAGTTTTGAACATGAACATTCTATAATCAATATGTTCAAATCTGCTAAGCATCTTCAGATGTCACCCTATCAACTAGCCAGCTTCCTCGTCCGAGCCTTAGACCGATGCCTGCGATAGTTCCTCCATGCATGTGTCTAATAATTTAGCGTCAGAGTTTAAATTCTCCGCCTGAGAAATCCTCCCAAATGTTCATGTGAGGGGAACAATATCGTAAATTCACCTTCAAGTGGCTGATCGGCAGACATGGGAGAACCCATGCATTATTTCACGCAGTAAGAATGGGCGAACCCTTTAGATGTAATCGAATGTCTATTTGTGCAAAAGGCGCACATCAGTCGATAGTTCGGGTTTGGCAAGTATGACAGTAGGCTTATCGATCTCAATTGAAAATATCGATTCAAAACAAAACCTGCATTCCGTGGGCAAGCAGCCTTCCCTCGATGTTTATTTTCGAATTCTCAAAGAGGTCATGACCGGTTTGGTGGAGACAATATCCCCGTGCGTGGAAATGACATGGATCTATTCTTTTATCTCTCAGGTGGACCATTAGTAACCAGACAATCGATATTCGAATTACAAAAAATATAGGCGATATCAAAACGTTAATCGACTAAAATATTAACACAGCCGCGTGCACTGATTACGACGCCAGCAACAGCAAGTCTGCAAGACGGCATAATAATATTATTAAGCGTTGCTAATAATAGAACATTAGTATCTTCCGAAAAATATAAGCGTAGATTTCAGCTAGATTCAGGTGTGCGTATGGGTGTGGGTGTATGATTAATTACTGTAAATATTTTCTAATAGTTAGGACGTATAAATTCGCACCATTTTCTTTTAGGAGTTTTGCGTTCCTTTATTAGTTGCACCTACGATTAAACGCTAAAAGTGCACACCATTTTCTCTTAGACTAAGGGTCAGAAACTCATATTTACACGCTGTTGATGCTTCCGAACGACTTGGACTTGAATATTATCGCATGGCCTATTCAGTTCTGCCTTGAATTGGTTAGTCTCTTTGGCAAAACAGATATCATGAAGTAGTGAACGATGTAAATAACATCGTTATACGAGGTTGACGAATAGGCTTTATCTGGATTAGAACAAGTTGTCAAAAAATTAAGCGATTTACAGACGGGTTGGCTTCAAATTGACAGACAAGCTTGTCGGAGATGTTCTAATATTATTGGAAGAGGTTTATCCATGCGATTAAGATTATAAGATTTTGTATTCGAAATAATGCTTATAAATAAACTGTTACAATATGGTTGACAATAAACTTTACAAATGTGACTTATCTTTGGGGGCAGAAAATTCCTCGAAGCAGTTGGAAAATTCGACTATTATCTTCAATGAATTGGCAAACTTTATTCGAAAATGTCAAAGCGATTCGGTAATTTTGATAACTACCTGGCAAAATTATTTGGACTCAAGGTTTCCGTTTTTGAGTACTACAATATGCCGGTTATGGAATATGCATCCAAAAAAAGAGACAGGGTTTTTTGGTCTGTTTAGTCACCAGATCATGTGATACAAATTATGTATTTATTATGATTGATTGGTTAATCTCGTAACACGATTTTTTAAGATTATATTGATTGCCGTTAAATATTAAAGTTAATGAAAATGTATAGTTGTTGGGGAGCCGGTTAAAACCGTTGGTCAGCGCCGACTTGCCTTGTTACTTGCTACATTAATATTAATTTCTATCTTGATTATGAGGTCGTGTACATTCAGTCTTCAACAAAAACGAGAAAACGGGATGTATTGCCACACTTCACATGTTAATGCATTGCTTTTCTGACAAACTAACATTCCCGTATTGCTGTCCAATTTTGAGAGAAACTTCACCGTGCTGACGTAATGTCCGTTCATCGTTCGGTTCAATCTCCAACGATTTATTAAAATCCTTCAAAGCATTGTCATATTGCTTTAGCTCATAATAGGCAGATCCCCTTCTAGACAGTGCCCATGCATCATTTGGTTTTCTTTTCAACAAGTTATTAAAATCGTTTAATGCATCATCATATTGTTTAAGACTATGATAAATATTTCCCCTTGTACTCAATATAAATTCATTATTTGGTTCAATTTCCAATGATTTATTGAAATCATGTAAGGCATCATTGTATTCACAAAGAACGTAATAAATAAACCCCCTTGCCTCCAACGTTTGGGGATCATTTGGTTCAATTTCTAATGATTTGTTGGCATCTTTCAATGCATTATCATATTCGTTGAGCATTAAATAAGTGTCCGCTCTTTCTCTTAGTATCAAAATATTATTTGGCTCAGTTTCCAGAAATTTACTGAAATCTGTCAATGCATCATCATACTGTTTAAGCCGGTAGTGGATAAACCCTCTTGTTTTCAATGCAAATAAATCACTTGGATTAATTTCTAATGAACTATTGAGATCGTTCAATGCATGAGCATATCTTTTAAGCCTGTAATAAGCATATCCTCTTCTACTCAATATAATTGCACTATCCGGCTTAATTTCCAATGATTTATTAAAACTATCGAATGCATTACGATACCGCTTAAGTGCAGTATAGACACATCCTCTTCGACCCAATGTATTGGCATCATCTGGTTCTGTCATTAATGACTTGTTAAAATCATTCAATGCCTTGTCATACTTTTTAAATACACCATAAACGATTCCTCTTGCACTTAAAGTCCATGGATCATTTTGTTTAATATTCAATGATATATTAAAATCGTTTAAGGCTTTATCATATTGCTTCAATGCTCCATAGACATATCCTCTTCCACTCAAAGCAAATGGATTATTTGGTTCAATTTTCAAAGATCTATTGAAATCAATTAATGCATTGTCATATTCTTTAAGTTTCCGGTAGGTAGTTCCCCTTCTATTCAATGCAAATACATTATTTGAATTAATCTCCAACGATTTATTAAAATCAACTAATGCATTGTCATATTGCTTAAGCACGTGGTAGACAGTTCCCCTTCTACTCAACGCAAATGCATCATGCGGATTAATCCTTAAAGACTTGTTAAAATCATCTAATGCATTGTCATACCGCTTAAGCGCACGGTAGATAATTCCCCTTCTATTTAGGACAAGCGGATTATTTTGTTCAATCTCCAATGACTTGTTAAAGTCAGCCAAAGCATTGTCATAGTTTTCAAGCTTCTGATAGATGGTTCCTCTTCCACTTAATGCAAATGCATCATTTGGCTTGATCTCCAGCAGTTTAGTGAGATTGTTCAATACATCATAGTATTGATCAAATATGCTGTAGATATTCATTGGCTTGCTAACATCATTCAGTATATTATAGTTATGAAACGCGTTATAGACTTCTCTAACTCTCTTTTCAAACGTATGATTTGGCTCGTTATCCAGTAATCCATCAAGCAGCAAGCAATATTTTTGCAACTCCAATCTTTGACCAATTTCTTTGCAATGTGGTCGTCTTTGAGGATCTTCATCCCAGCATTCAGAATACAATTCAACGTATCTTTTTGGCGTTCCAGAAATAGGCTCGTCGCGATAGCCATTCGATCGAAATAGAATTATGTCTGTAGCCATTGTTAGCGCTTTACACGGTCGTCTTCCGCTGGATATTTCCCACAGAATTACCCCTAGACTAAAAATATCAGACTTTTTCTCATGTTTGCGTGAGCTGCTGGCAAGCAATAATGGATCCATATATGCTAGCTCTCCTTTAGTGTTAGAAGGCAATCCAAAATCAGATATTTTAGCAATGCCTTTACAAATTAGAATATTATTCGAACGCTAGAAATAATTATGGAAATAAGTGTAAATAAAAAGTTCGAGTTATTGGAATCAGTAATATTACATAGGTCGCGACACTTGAAATTTTATATAATACAATACCAAATACTTATGAATAATTTCCATATCGTGCAGATAGTTTAAACCATTTGTAATGCTTAAACCAAGAACTGCTTTCGCTTCTAATGTCATTCCATGATAAAAATCTTCCAAATAATCATGCAAGGTCCCAGATTCAAGGCTCATACGATAGTCATTGGAAATATCTATTATATACGATCGCAGGTTAATTTATGAATGACATTCGAGCTATGAGCATAAGTCTATCTGTATACTGGACATACCTTTGCTTATACCTACGAATCGAATAATATTTGAATGGTCGTCGGCTAGTTTGTTATTACAAAGCTATAATAAATCCACAATAAATACAATGAATACAATGAATACAATGAATACACTGTTACTTAAAACCGAACCTAACAACCAACTTACCTCTTCAACCAAGCGCTTGTAAAATTCCTTTCCTCGATTGTTCCCCAATGCCTCTACTGCAATATTTCGGGATTGACTCACAGTGACAACGGTAATTATATCTTTTCTATTCTGATGGTATCCAATGCGTCTACCCTGAATAATCGCTGTTAAACGTTTCTTGAGATTGCCGAACGTCGACATCGCAAGTGCCAAGATCTCTCCTATTGACAACTCTTAGCGTAATTATATTATGCATAGTGTGACATTGCGTTTGCCTTTAGTATTACGTTACACCGTCAAAATTACTGTCTTTAGCGTTGACCTAATTTTATTATAATATTCAGTGGTACTGTAATTCCGTTAAGGACTAATTAGCTTTCCTTCTTCATAATCGCATCAATTCATTGTATTTAATTTACTGGTGAATACTCTCTCTCGCCTACGAGATGGTCTGATGAGCGTCAACAACAGACATTTTAATTCAATTTGGAACATCTTGCTTCACTTTAGAATTCCCTTGAATGTACAATATATGCCTATCAAAGCTCTAAGTAAGTGCCAATATTAATATAGGCTAGCAGCCGATATGGTAGTTATATTTCATTCATAAACTTTTAACGATTCCTGCACAGCCTGTCTGTATCTGAGTATTTTTGACACTCCCACTGGGCGGTATTACTAAACTATTCGACGGATTAATTCTCATCACACATCGTCTGCATCCCGCGGTTTTCCGTGAGTATTTAACACTGTCTGTATTCTTTATAATCGCATCTAGTCTAATATCTTGTATCCAAAAGGCGATATTAGCGGTTCACTTTCAAGAAAATTCTACATTGAATATTGCATGGAGACATCTGATAAATACACGTTTTGCATAATCAAATACTAACGATTGATAAGTAGGTTCGTTAATCTTTTCCATTGTTGTGAGTGTCAAAATTTAATGTTTCATTTGGAATAAATTCTTCTGATAGTAGGGCTTGGCCTGCAGCAAAATCAAATAGCGATCATAATACTCGACAGATGTAAGCCCCAACAAAATTGCTTATTTGTCTTGTATGGAAATTACAATTGTGGCGTACTGGCGCCAATTGGATCGACACAGTGAATTTCGCATATGATTTACCATTTAATGTCAGGCGCACTGTATGTGATGTAGACAAAGCAGAAGTTTGTCACACAGGGAAAGGGGGAAAATCACTTTACAACCATGTGATCAACCCCAAGCATACTTCCTTCTTTCAACACAAAGCGACAACAGTAGCACAAATACATTCCAATAGCGCCATTCTCTGTTTAGAGGTCATCACCATAAAAGCAGCAATGTCATCATCACCTCGTTCACGCTTGTCCCTATCAATCCATCCGATATGCCGCGTGTCTCATTTTTGACTCACACCTTGCTCATTCACGCGCCTGTCGTTCTACTTGGGATCATCCTATTAATACACCCAAAGAAATTGCCATCTGCAATTAAACGTATCATTGGCATACCACTCTTAGCAGCTGAATTCTACGTAGGGGCCGCATACTATTCTAAATGTTATGGATTTGATATTTTGTATACGACAGTAGCAATTGTCACTACATTACGGTTTTTCGATTTTTACTTTTTCACTTCATTACTTAACGGTAAAGATGTTTACGTGACAACGGCTGACTTGAAAGCGGAATTATGGCAACCTATTAGATATAGATCAACCGAAAAACAAAAGAGTGAAAATGGGGAAAACCATCAAAGCAACGGAACCAATGAAAATATGATAGTCTCATCGTTCACACTACTTCCGTCTGCTTTCTTATTACTTTTTTTATCTGATTGCATAAACTACTTGTTCCATCAATTTACTGCCCACAAGATACTCTCACTATCATCAATAGAATTATTTATAATGAATCTAATCGGTGGTATTTACATTTGCACAATACTGGAAGGAACATCTCGTCTTGGAGCATTCGCTTGGACGTTAATCAACAATCGAGGCGTTATTGACAAGAGCGTGTGGAAACCGCTATTCAGGCATCCATATTTGTCGACATCGCTATCAGATTTATGGTCGGTCAGATGGCATCAGACGTTCCGTGTATTATGGATGTCGCTAGCATACGTTCCACTGAGACAACTCATTAGACAGAAACTACGACCATGGTTAACGAAAAATAATAATTCCAAGACTAGTACCGTTGCGGATATGATGGAATTGGCTATACCAGCAATTGGCGTGTTCGCAATCAGTGGTTTAATACATGAATACATAGTGTGGGCAACATTCTATCCTCAATGGATTCCAGGTCAAATGATGGTATTCTTCGTTTCCCAAGCAATTGGGGTGATCATTGAGAAGATTTATCAAAGGCTTACACCCGGACTAAGCCTGCCGGTATGGATGGGAAGACTATGGATTCTATTATTTTTATATTTCACTTCGCCATACTTTTTTGAACCGTTTTACAAGGCAGAAGCATGGCGATTTAATGGGGATTTGCCAAGTGTATTCAAAACGGTCGGTCTATGGACAGAAAATTAGTATTACATGTCAAGAACTATTGAATCGCACTCTTAACAAAACAGTTTGACAGGGGGGGATTTTGGTTTATATTTATTTTAAACTTCGTTATAGTAATCTCTATTCGACAAACAACAAGATATACAAGAACAACTCCACAGAAAATCTTATAATGCATTTTTTCGATTCTCTTCAGAATATAAAATTGGGAAACAAGAAAATAATAACCGAATATCAAATGATGTATAGTCCCATTATGTAAATAATTATCGGAACGAAATATTCGTTCAAGAATATTACTAGTACATTGTGACAAGCACTAAAGTCCATCTGAAAGTGTAAGAGGTCAACATGATAATTCAAGATTTCACTGTACATTTGACAAAAAAATCACACATACGTCAACGACATCTACCCCACTCATCCTACAAGTCCTCTAAAATAGAGTCAGCTGCCCATTGTCGCAAAAAAAGCTTGACCGCTCTGCTATAGTTTCATAGCACTCACCCATTACCGACGCCATTTAACAATCATCTATTACCACAAACAAACCTGCATAAACGCGTGCACCTGAACGTCTATAAGAAACACCAATATTCTAGTACGACTACATTCATCGTCTTCCCCCCGGCTTAAGACCAAACGGCGGTGGTGGCGGCGGCGCTCGTTGAGGCGTGCCCTGAAGTGATAACGAAGACAGATCTAAAGGCACAGTCGTACCAGTGGACGATCCGGATGGATATGTCTTTACTGAGGAGTTGAAAGAGGATGGTGGTGGAAAGTCAGAAGAGGGATGGAAAGTCCAGCGGCCTTCTGTCGTTGATCGTTCTTGAGATGTGACTACCACAGCTGAAGGAAAAATTAGCAGATGTTAGTGATATGACACACTGTTGATGAAATTAATAACGACATACTGCGATTATACTAATAACAATGATTCTCATACGAACGCAATTCACAAATCAATACAAAACTTACATCTTGTACTCGAAATCCTAGTAGTATTTCGTATAATATCACCTTTTACCGCATTCGAAACTGGCCTAGTTCTCTCTACTACAGTCCGAGGACGCTGCGGTGGAGGCGGCGGAGACTGTGACCTCGTCGTTGGTCTGGCTGGTGGCGGTGGCGGCGACTTACCTGCCACAGAAGATTTTTTTGGTAATGTTAACGGAGGTTTCTTCGATATAGGAGGCGGTGGCGGTTTCTTCCCAATCGGCGGAGCAGTATTCCTCGCCGGTAGCGGGGGTGTTGAAGAGGAATTCGAAGATCGTGATGTTGGTAATGTTCGGCCTATACGTTCTGATATACTTTCTACCTCTTTGTTTGACCTGGTTGATGCTGAGGAATGTAATCGGGATGGAAGTACGGGTGGGGGAGCGGCTAAAGCAGTTGCGAGTGGTTTACCGGTATGTCGAGATGGTAGCGTTGGTGGAGCGCCTCCACGTCTACCTCCTGGCACAGGAGGTAATGCGAAACCTATATTTAACATAATTTACGATTAGAGATTGAACTAGAATGAAGGGTAAAATAGAACGCAGGATAATTACCAGCGCCATTCCTACCACCTCCAGAAGAGCCGACAGATGTTTTCCCTATTTTATACGTAACATAGAATAATTGACAGTAAGAATAAGAATTTCTGGGAGAGGTGTCTTCAGCGTACGAGCCGTGAGATGACTCGATATAAGCAAACTGCAGTAGTTTAGTTAATATTGTAACGAATAGTCAGACTCATCCAAGTTTCAGTAAATCTCCGCTTTCCACTGCCAGCACAAAAGTTACAAGTCTCACCTTCTATGGCAGGTGCAGATCGATCGTTCGTCGTTGCTTTTTTCAGCTTCCTTCCCTTTTGAATGTCTGCCAGCAGAGCGCCTCGTCCACCGGAAGACTGTGATTTATTACCTCCAGATGGTGGGGGTGGTGGGGGTGGAGGAGCGGGCATATTTAAAGAGAAGTTTTTAATGATGAAATCTTGAGAAATAACCGACAGGACGTTACAGTATTAGTATCGCATCGCTATTTATTTATTCGTCAATCAATGACGTCATTGAAAGCTTCCGTAGTACCAAGACTTTCCAATTATTATGGTATTTCTTGGCTATTATTCTTTATTAGCGAGAATAGAGGAATAGAAAATAGTCAAAATAAGGTTGAAAATAGAATAACGTCTTGAAAGCTGACATCTGTTAGCACTTCATTGGCAGATTAACTTATTATTCAAATGGGAATGAAACGATTGGCCTAATGAAGACTGTAGTAGGAAGAGACAAATATAGAAACACTAATATCATTGATGTATCAGAAAGTGTTGCGTGTTTTTTATTCACAATGAAATATCTAAAAGTATTCATTAATTTTGGTATTGATATTTTCAACTACGTATTGAAGAAGAATAATAGAATCAAGATTGAAGTTGAATTCGGAAACAAAGTTATTAAATCAAGGAACCCACAAATTCTTTATTTCATCTCGTATAGCTTTTATCATATGCCAAGTTATCTCTTATGGTAATAGTAAAACTTATTAACTTGTCTTTGGAAGAGGTCACCTTGGCGAATTGTACATGAGTAACTTGCAAACATTTCAATCATATAAAGTATAAATGCTTCGTATTCATCTAATACTAAAGGTTTGCGCTCTTACTTTTGTTTTCTCGTGTTTTAATTTTTCAACTCTAAGAATGCTCGATGCAACTACTCGAATGTTTATTTCTAACTGTCTGAAAAGCATACGATAAGAAAGCATTGTACGATTAAATGTAGTGATTTAAGCAGAAGTTTATGCTTTGCATGTCTCATGGGCTTATAGACCCTAAATGTAATATAATGGGTCGAATCGCGATTATTACAGCTACAGCCAAGACATCCTTGAATCAGCGAAATAGTTGGGCCTATTTGCTGGATGTGAACTTATACTTAAAATGGATAAGTGGGTGACCTTCAGTTGGTATGTCGAACCAGGGATTGTAATAATAAATTCTAGAGCCCGTAATCAGTATATGTGCTAAGTTGTGTTCCAGTAAATAACTTTTGCTCTTTAAATTGACACATTTTAAAATGTGCTAAGATTGAGTTTTTGACATAACTTATGTTAGATAAGAAAAGAAATACAGAAAAGTTGGATTAATAATCTTTAAGCTATTGAAATCGCAAAAACGGAAATGCATGAATAAAATTGGAATTAAGTTATAGAAATAGTCATATACAATCAGATATATAATAGAGAATATTCGTCTTTGTTTATGTGATATTCGTGTATCTTCGGTATCCTGTCAGCTTATTGGTGTAAGTCAATCTTATTATTATATACCAGTTAAAGTTTGTCCCGTCTACTGCCGCGGCAACATCATTTCTCCATTTAGAAATAAGCCTCATTATTGACAACGTGAGCCTTTTCCCAGGTATTTGATTTCCTTGATACATAACAATTTATAATTGAAAGCAATATAGTCACCAAAACGCTGGCTCGTATTTTTGGTAAAGCGTTTATACATCCACCCTGGATAAATAATTGATTCGAAAATAAATTATTTAGAAAACATCCCAGCTTTTTATAGACCTTATAAAGTTAGCGGTCATTTCAAACATCTTTTTAAAATACTGTCGCAATTTAGAACCAAAACTCAAGTTACATATATGAAGAGGGTTTATGTCATTACTTTGGCTTAAGAGAATCGGTATTTAAATCAACAAATTTACGGGATAAACTCAATACAAAACATACAAAAGCCGAAGCTGAGAGAATTAGCTGTATTCGCCTGCCTTGAATAATAATTCCGGCTTTCGAAAAAAACTTGGTGCCTAATCGAAATGGAGGTTATGAATCGCCCGGTATTAATATTACGAATGAGGCTAGTAAAAATCGAACGGAAAATCCCATTACCCAAATTTATTACATCAGAATCAGTCAGAGTCCGTTTGTAGGTTATGAGCATAACAAATATAGAAAATTGTTTATATAATCTACTGTTGTTGCAGCTGCCCATCTGGGCAAACTTTTAACATGCTGGTTGTAACACTTTGACTTTGCTTTCCTCAACTTTAGAAGTAATAGTAAGGGAAAAAAGTTGCTTTCAGCTTCTCACATGTTAATAGTCTACCAGATAACTGTCAGATGGCTGATTTTACTTGAGAATATCATGTATAAAGCCTTTATTGATAATTGCAATAAGCTGTACCTTTCCTAAAGGTAAAATTTGCATTGACTGTCATTATGATGGACTTGATATTGAGATTGTAGTGGATCAGTCCTAGTACTATAACTAGTCTCTTTTCATAATATCTAATTTATAGTATTTCCTCTAGGTGAAAATGGACTCTCCCTAAGTGCAGCACTGACACGACCATATTAATATAGCCAAATCAGACACAATCTGCATTTATAGAGAGTGAAATACTTAATGGTCTTATAATCTCGGGACCATGCATTTAATATATAATAGTGCTGTCCATTTGGTCAATCTCAACCATATTTAGCATTTACAGTGTCACATGATATTTCTGAAGAATCTACCAAACGCGCAGTTACATTTCGTTCTTGCCAAAATATAAAACATGCCGGCCGCACAAAATTCCCCAGAAAATATCGACGAGCTTCTTGCTCTCATTCAGACAAGCAATGACGAGCCATCCAGAAAAGCCTTATTCTCAACGCTCCGAACAGTTCCTACCCCATTGTTAACTTTTCCAACGGCAGATGAACAGGATCCGCTTGACCTTCTGGAACCAGCCGAGAATACTCTAGCATACGCGTATATTCTGTTAGTAAGAACGAATGCTGATAAGTTTTGGCATTTTCATTACCTTGAGAGAAATTAATTCTTTTTAATGCGTAGAGTTGCCCGATGCTATGGAGATCGGCTAGACGTTTCGCGTATGCTGCATCACATCCTCAAATTTCTTAATTCGTTTGATCCGGAAGAAGCACGATATGCACCAGAGAAACGTTAGTTCAATTATATATTTTTGCTGTCTTTTATTATTGATTGTATCTTATTCTGCTTATTCACAGTCGCTCAGATTGCTCAGACACTATCAAGGATAGCGACTAATGTAGGAAAGGTACGAAGAAAATTGAATTCCATTCCAAACAGTCTTTTTTCTTTCCAATCTAACTGATTACATGTTAGAGTCTCATAACCGTGAAACCATTAGAAATGGCAATTAATAGATTTGCTCCCAGTCCCAAGCACCTGACAAACATCCATCAGATATTTATAAAGGTGTAGTTATCTATTACGCGAATGTACTGTTTTACATTGAGCATCCGTTAATTGGTATTTGGTGAATGAATTTTTTTACTTAGGAGTGTCTCCTATCGAAATGCTATAAAGCAGCATTACGAGTTTTGGACAATGATATCACAGAGATTGACGTTCAAGTCAGTTGGTTATTTTATTGATAGCGAGAAATCGTTGATACAGTTGCCGTATTGGAATTCCCTTATACTTAAAAAAATCTTTTTTTTCTGATGGAATTCAGGAAATGGGAATTCACTACACTGACCATCTTCTCTATCACTATTACGGGGGAATGATATACATTGGGCTAAAGAAATTTGAGAGAGCACTAGACTTTTTCAAGTTGGTAAGGACAATACGACTGGAAGTTATTACATCATAAGTATCTGCTATATAGTATAATTAACTGATCGCCGTTCTGCGTAGGTAATCTCTGCTCCCGCCAATTTATCGAGTATGATTCAAGTCGAAGCCTATAAGAAATTTGTCCTAGTTTCTCTCTTGTTACATGGGAAGGTTAGTCAGATACAGAGTGTTGAACAGAGATTGCTTGCATTATTTGGCATGAGAGCATTGCGTAATTCGAGTCAGTCATAATAACAGAAACTTTTGCGGTTGCTTTGTATTCAGATTGCAACTCTTCCAAAATACACGGCACAAGCTGTATTTCGCTCAGTCAAGAATTTGTGTCAACCATACACAGATTTTGCTAACGCGTTTGAGGGTTTGAAAGTCAAGCGGGTGCGAACGGAATTTTTAAAGTGCTCTGATGCATTCAAGAAGGTGGATTGATAATTATATGCCTATGCAATATCGTAGTAAACAGAAATAGTTATTATACATTATTAACTCGATAACTAATTCAACTGATCGTTTTACAGGACAAGAACTTCGGACTTGCAAAACAAACTCTGGATGCATTATATCGAAGAAACATTCAACAGTTAACACAAACATATTTGACATTGTCTCTGGTTGACATTGCGGATGCAGTTGGTCTTGAAGGATCGGATGCTGCCAAACAAGCAGAGAAATATGTATTGAAAATGGTAATCGATACATTGACAATGTTTGAATTAAGATGAACTCAATTTAACTATTTCCACTTCGATAGATTGAATCCAAGGAAATCTTCGCCACCATTAGCCATACTCACCAGAATGGCATGGTGTCTTTCCATGACAACCCAGATAAATTCGATGCGCAGGAAACTATCTCTCAGTTGGAACAACAAATTATAAGAGTATCTTTCTAGAGTAAGTATTTATTTCAGATGTGAAAGACTACTTGTCTCTACATTATCTAATAGCCTTCGACCTATTATTGAACAGAACCAGCATGTGAGTGCTAGTGGAGTTGGATCTGGACTTGGTACCGTAGATGATACTGAATTATTATCGGGCTTTGATTCGTTGGTTGATGAAGGACGATATTTTGCATAGCGCCATTGAGAGAAATTGGTGTATCGATATGATTTATGATTAATGCTTCTGACAGTTAAATAAAGTTGACATTTCTAGTGTAGATCATTATTTATACGATTGGTGCTATAATAATCAGTGAACTGAATTGAAAACCAATCAAATGTGAATACAAATTTCTAAAAAAAAATTGTCAATTTTTCCTGAACTCGATAAAGCCATTCGCTTATCTTGAGGAGGAGTATCTCCAGACAGATATATAATTACATTTAAAGGAAACTCCTCACAATGGTGAGATCTATGCCCACTGCAACTTAAAGTAATTGCTTGTGCTATAATGAAAACTGACTCTCTGTTCACGCTATGTCATCACTCTCGTCGCCGACTAGGTCATGCGCCTTGACATTAAGGTTACTATACTATGTTGCCGCTAGAACAATTGTTCAAAGTTTTCCATACAGTTTAACGTTTGTCTGTTTGGAACGATTTATAAACTGATTGATCCATTAATATTATTGTTTGCAGCGAAAGCTTTTATCTCGGTCAGATCGCGTAAAGTGTATAGACTTCCACCCAACAGAGCCATGGCTTCTTGCCAGCTTGTACAATGGCAAAGTTTATGTCTGGAATTATGAAACTGAGGTATAGACAAAAGTTCATACATTAGTCCTCAGTGAATACTCTTTGATAGTCTAGCAGTATTAAATTATCAACACAAGTTGGATAGGCCAGGACATAGATGTAGATGCGTACACAACATTCAATATGCGCGGATATATTTTTTTTAAAAGTCAATTGCCTGGAAAAAGGAGATTTATTCGAATTGAAATACTATGATCAGTGACTTAACAGATCCTGTGCAAAATTATCCTTGAATGATGTAGGCTCTGGTGAAGACATTCGAAGTGACGGATGTCCCGGGTATTGTATACAAATTCTTACTGCAATATATACTAAGAGGGTGACGATGGGGGGAAAATCATGTATTGGGTGATTTGACCTGAAGAAAGATAGCGAGTTTACATAACGATCTGCCATTTTTATTAGTTCGGGCGGCAAAATTTATTGCCAGAAAAAACTGGATCGTTACTGGATCAGATGATATGCAGCTTCGCGTTTTCAATTACAATACACACGAGAAAGTGACAAGTTTGGAAGCTCACCCTGACTATATTAGATGCATCGCTGTTCATCCTACACAACCTTTCATATTGACTGGCTCCGATGACATGACTATTAAATTATGGGATTGGGAGAAAGGATGGAAATGTGTCCAGGTATATATATTGTTTTTTTGAGGACGTGTTAGGATGACAAAATGATGATTAATTCCGCCGTGTCTACTTGCTAGGCTTTCGAAGGGCATACTCATTATGTCATGAATATCAACTTTAATCCTAAAGATTCCAACACTTTTGCATCAGCTTGCTTGGACCGCACAATCAAAGTTTGGTCTCTCGGATCTTCTGTCGCCAATTTCACTCTCGAAGGACACGATAAAGGCGTTAACTGGGTTGATTACTACCACGGAGGAGAGAAGCCATATCTCGTATCGGCTGCTGATGATAAAACTGTCAAGATCTGGGACTATCAAAACAAAACCTGTGTTCAAACGTTGGAGGGCCATACCCAGAATGCAGCATTCGCTTGTTTTCATCCCGAACTACCTATAATTATTTCTGGTAGTGAAGATGGAACCGTTAAGATTTGGCATTCTAATACCTATCGTCTGGAAAACACTCTCAATTATGGTCTAGAGCGTGCTTGGACCGTTGCATATCAAAAAGGAAACAACAATGTAGCCTTTGGTTATGACGAGGGTGCTGTTTGCGTTAAGGTATGTTGTAATTTCTCGTAAAAAATTCGGTCGCTATTTATACGGTATTAAATGCTGCTTATGAACGTTCTTCTAGCTTGGCCGAGAAGAGCCAGCAGTAAGCATGGACAATTCAGGGAAAATTATTTGGGCCAAACATAATGAAATTCAAACTACTAATGTGAAAGCTGATTTTGGTAAGTAATATTCAAAAAAGGAAATATTTTACTATCGTGAGCTCTTGGCGAGAATGCGATAGAGTACAAATGCTCTGCAGACATTGTCTAATCGGTGCATATGTATATGCGCGTATTGCAGACGAGAATGTCAAGGATGGAGAACGATTACCTTTGCCAGTAAAAGATCTTGGAAGTTGTGAGGTGTATCCACAGACTTTACAACACAGTCCAAATGGAAGGTTAGAATAATATTAACACTTTGTTGTTATTATTTAAAGCCAGTTTAATATAACCTCTGCGATGATACACAGGTTCGTCGTTGTTTGCGGTGACGGTGAATACATAATATACACAGCATTGGCATGGCGAAACAAGGGCTTTGGCAATGGATTGGAATTCGTGTGGGCTCTTGATTCAAACGAGTAAGCATCTTTGCTGTCTTGAAACAATTTTACACTTCTACCTTTATCTAATTTCAATATGTTGAAGATATGCCGTACGAGAATCTTCGACGAAGGTTAAACTGTACAAGAATTTCAAGGAGCGACCTGGAGTTTTGAAGATAAAGTTCACCGCCGAGGGCATATTTGGTGGCACGTTGTTGGGTATTAGAAGTTCTACCTTCCTAAATCTTCATGACTGGGAAACCGGTAATATTATTCGAAGGATTGACGTGATTCCAAAAAATGTAAGTTTATTTGTTCAATATTTGGAGTGTTATATTACTCTTGATAACCCCATTCATTTGAATAGGTTTATTGGTCGGATGGCGGAGATCTGGTGACCATTGCTTGTGAGGATGCGTATTATGTCTTACGGTTTAATAGGGCAGCTTATACAAAGTTTATAGAAAGCGGGGGTGCAGTTGCTGAAGAAGGCGTTGAAGAAGCGTTTGAGTTTGTTACCGAGGTTCCCGAAAGGTATTGTGGTTTGATGAGTCATTCATGTCATTTGTGTGTTTACCAGCTATAACGCTAACTGATAATTGTCTTTGCTATTAGCATAAAAACAGGGACATGGGTTGGAGATTGCTTTATTTATACAAATGCTGTTAATCGACTTAATTATCTTGTTGGTGCACAAACCTTTACCATAAGTCATTTTGATACGTATGTTGCAGTGAAATTGAAATGAATTTGTTTGAATATGAATTGTGCAAAGACTTAGAATTTTTCTTATACTTAGACCAATGTACTTATTGGGCTATATTCCGAAAGACAACCGAATATATCTGGCAGACAAAGTACGTGTTTATTACGTTTATCTCATAACATCGTTGTATTCTGCTTAATGTGACTTATTATCAGCTTGTATTTCATTCTATTTAGGATGTTAATGTTTACAGTTATGCGCTGTCATTGACCGTAATCGAATATCAAACTGCTGTCCTGCGAGGTGATCTTGAATCAGCCGCAGAACTCTTGCCAGATGTGCCCGAAGATCAAAGGAATAGAATAGCACGATTTTTGGAGAGTCAAGGTAGGGCGTGGAAATGTCGTCGACATTCTGTATCAAACATTGCATTACATTCTACTAATTTGCGTTACCAATTATTAGAATTAAAGGAACTTGCCCTGGAAGTTTCAACTGATGTCGAACATAAATTTGAGCTTGCTATACAATTAAATAAGCTCGACGTGGCTGTTGAAATTGCACGAGAAGTTGACAACGAATCAAGGTGGAAAGCTGTTGCCGATTCAGCTTTGAATACATGGAAGGTTGGATACGCTACTTTTTTTTTATATCCAGAATAGTGGAGATTATTAATCATTGCCTTATCTATTTACAGTTCTCCCTAGCTGAAGAATGTCTGAAGAAAGCGAAGGATCTAAGCGGACTACTTTTATTGTATACTGCATCCGGAAACGCAAAGGCAATCAAGGAACTTGCAGAGACCGCTGGTGAATAATCTAAAAATTTGCACACGCATTGAACAGTTCTCGGAATCTATGTATTAATCTATCATGTTCTCTCGCAGTTGCCGAAGGCAAGAACAACATAGCATTCACTTGCTACTTGCAACTTGGCCTATTAGAAGAATGTATCGACTTGTTGATAAAGACAAAGCGTCTTCCAGAAGCTGCAGCGTTTGCAAGAACTTATCTTCCGAGGTTTGTCATCTATCAGACGAGTAGAATACTATTCATTGATTTATGACTAAAAACTCGTCGTATCCATTTCCAGTCAAGTTTCAAGAGTAGTCAAACTGTGGCGCGAGAGTCTTGAAAAAGTTAATAAGAAAAAAGCAGCCGAAGCATTAGCCGATCCAGCAGAATATGAGAATTTATTCCCGGATTTCAAATACGTATGTAACGATTATTGAAGGTATTACACGTGGATTATGTACTTATCTGATATTTCATTAGGCATTGATTGCTGAAGAACATGCGAAAAAGGCACGAAATAATATTGTTTCAGCAAGTGCGTACTCAGATTATAAGGACATTCTTGAAGTTGACGTTATCGCAGGTATCGTACAAATTGCTCGCCAGCTGTTTCTCCAAATAACTTGATACAAGAACACCAAGAATTTATTACAATTGCTTTTACCAGAAATTAAGGAAAAATATCCTGATGGTGTTCAATCTTCTAACCCTGCATCAATTAATACTAAACTCAATATCGCGAGGAGGACTATAAACGGCGAAGTGGAAGACGATGTAAGAGAACTCACTACCGAGCTAATCTACTTGCAAGCATGATATTATACGTATTAATGTCGTTTATCATGACAGGTACTATCATCAGTTGCGTCTGTAGACGATGATCGCATCAGCGTTGCAGATAATATGAGCATGCTTAGTATGGAAGGTAGGTAGTTACACTAGTTGAAGTACTACTTCTGCATTCGAATTATTAAACTTCTTTATGGCTTGACAGTGAACACCACTGGCACCAATTCAGTCAAGGTAAGCTCATGGAAATATCCAACCTGACGCTATCCCATTTAACTAATTCTCTCCATTTCAACTTTTAGGACGTTGACTTTGATGATGCCTCATCTGAGCAGGAACGGACGATGATAGGTGATGATAAAGACTGAATTGCCCTCTGATACATACATGCCTAAGGGACTATCACACGAGGTCGTTCTTATTTTTAATTAGTAATGGAAAGAAATTTGTTTTTAGATTTGTCAGTTGTATATCTATTAGAAACAATTACTAAATAAAGGTTTATAAATGTGTTGTTACTGCAACAAAACCAGGGCAAAAGTGAATTATAACCAGCTGGATTTACAAGCATCATATTTTGATGTCTCTTTGTTCCGATGTATGAAATGCGTCAGACTATAACATATAATCTAGATAGGTAAAAGGATTAGGTGCACAATCTGATTTGGCGTGGCAGGACGCGAAGTGAGATGATCTCATGAGGAATTTTGAAAAGGGCAGTAATAGCGATGGGTGTCAAATAGTGATTTTTTGTTCCATACATTTGGACGGAAAAACTGGTCAATGTCTAGATTTCAGCAAGTCCTTTACCGCTACAATTAGAATTTGGGAAAGATCACGCTAGACTCTTTGCTAAACATTCGAGGAGTATTAACATCGGCTGGCCATCCATGAGCAAACTTGGCATGCTCCCACGTACGCTCGTTTGGTTTTACGCCGAGTTTAGACAGTAGCCGCGACATTTTCGTTGGCATTACTGGTTGTAAGAGTATTCCGGCTATGCGCGCAGATTCTGCTGCGTAGAATAGCGAAGTGTTTAGCCTGTCCTGTTGCGATGGATCATTAACAAGTCTCCACGGTTCGTATATGGTAAAGTGTCGATTTGCCTAGTAAGAATGAGTGATAGTTAGACAATCTATCGAGAATGAAATATCCGTGGTAAGACATGAAAAGCTTGTATGATAACCTCGGCAAGAGTATCGAATATTGCAGCTAGTCCTTTGTTTAAGTTGAGTTTTTGATAATGCTCTGCTACGATATCTGGTGTAATGAATAGTGTCCGAATTAGAACCAGCACGAATACAAAAACTAATGCTTTATGTATCCTGCTCGGTAGTCTTTGACTAATTTGTCCTTCACACATATATATGATCATTGAGACACGCTGGTATAAGATACTTACCAGGTAAACTTTGTAATTTATCCCGTAGAGCAAGATCATCGGAATTAGAGCTGTTATTATTCGGATTTTGCGGTATTAATAATTTCGGATTGAGCGTGTTTGAAGCACTTCGTGATACTAAATTGCCCAACTGTCCAACCAGGTCTTTTTTATAGCGGAATTGGATATTTTGCTCGGAATAATCTGTTGGAATAAAAATCAGTCTTGCATTATCATATCGCACGGTATCGTATCACATCTGCTACAACTCCTGAAAGTTTCAATACTTTCCGCTATCGTCAGCAATGCCTCCATCGCGCATCAAGTAATATCGAATAGCATCAACACCATATTTATCCATAGCCTGCAACGGATCGATTACGTTTCCTAAACTCTTGGACATTTTCATCTTCTTCATTGTCCAATGAGAATGAGCAAATACTTGTCTCGGAAGTGGTAAATTCGCTGCCATCAGAAAAGCAGGCCAATAGACAGCATGAAACCTGAAAAGAGCAATAAATACAATATGTATATATACTGTGAACTATATATATCAAGTTTAACAGAATGAAACATACCTAGATATGTCTTTTCCAATGATATGGACGTGTGGTGGCCATCCATGATCGGCAGCAGACACAGAGTTATCAGGCCATGGATATCCCGTAACCGTAAGATAATTGATTAATGCATCTAGCCATACATATATTGTCTGTTCAGGGTCATCCGGCACGCGGATACCCCAATTTAATCGAGATCTTGATCGAGACACTGACAAATCTGACAAGCCGGTTTGAATCCATGATTTAACCTCATTATATCGATTGCTTGGCACAACAGCTATTAATTGATATAAGAATTAATCAGTCAAGACTTTTCATACGCCTGACAATCGTTTGTATACATACCGTTTGATTCTGTGGCTAACCAATGCAATAGTCTCTCCTGAAATTCAGACAATCGAAACTTGTAATTCTCTTCCTGGGTCCATTCTACTCTTTTACCTGTTTCCGACGCAATCTATAGTAATCATAAAATATATATACATGGTTTTTATCCTTAACGAAGAAATTTAGGGCAAAAGTCGTTCTCGATGTACCTTGTAGCTTTCACCCGACTTGCTATCTGTTACATTGGATACTTCTGATTCCGTGTAAAAAGCCTCATCTGAAATGGAATACCAACCCTCATGGATGCCCTTATAAATAAACCCATTCTCTACAAGACATTGCTTAAAAATTGTACGATATATTTGAATACCCGATATATGGGCACTGCGCGTACATCCATTACATAGTGTCTATCAAGAGTTATAATCACCCAGAAGAAACAAACAGCTTTTTCGTGTCTCTTCTCAGTCGTACGAATAAAGGTTGTATACTGGATATTCGCCGCATCAAACAAATCCTATTCGGAGCAGATCAACACGTAAGCTTTGAAGCTAATGCAAAAGAACGCTCCCTTTTTTTATCCCCACTTTTACCAATCGCCTCAAATATTTACCCGAAATCTTTGTGATGCTTCGTCACAAAATACTTGCATAGGCTTCTTTGCTTTTACGGCAGCTTGTTGAATCTGGTGATACGAGCCACCGCTTACCAATCAACACATATACCACATCAATCCAAAGGAACCACGACCAATCAACATGCCTTAAGTCCATGTTCATCAGTACCAGTGCTAAGTATTACTCTATGTCCGCGTAGTTCAAAAAACCGCTTCAAACAATCAGCTACAAGAGCTGAATGCAAATGTCCTATATGGGGTTCTATTTATAGAGAATAGGTATAATTTGCATTGGGAAATTCTGTTTAGAAGGGTTGTATTTCTAATGTATATTATCGCTTAAAAATAACGTACTATCATTCACATAGAATATTGGTGTCGTAATATATAATAGTCTATCCTTTGCCGGCACATTCAACCACCTTCTTGAGCACGTCCGAAAACCATATGACCAAGAATCGCATCGGGCTTTGCCATTAACAATAAGCGAATCCGTCAGGTATCTCGGGAGCGCTCTGTCAAATGCCCTATTCCCATAATTCCACACACGTTCCATATATGAAACGTCAGTTTTTGTTATCTGTGTTAGTACAAAAGAAATTACAAACAAAAAATTGTTCAATTATTTCAGGTGGATGTTTTACGAATGCCTCGAAAAGGCAACGGTTTACAGGGAATGTAACCATAACTAAAATGTTGACTAAGGAACGCAAAACGCTTAGTAAATATTTTTCCACGTTCGGAATGCAGAAATCTCTCGATGAGATTGTTACAACCTTTAGAAAAACATAGTGCTCTAAAGCACAGACAGTCTGTGCTTTATTTGTGCATAAACATTAGAAGACTATTCACTATCATAATATCAATATACACAGTAGTCTTGACGGTATTTCCGTCGATCGCACATTGCCAACAGACATTTGTACTGACCGATGGTATAAAGACCAACGGAGCTATACTTTCGGGAAATATAAATTACTATCGTCTAACAACATCGTTGCGGAGCAGGTCAGGAGGACTCGAGGAAGTATTTGCACGGGCGATCGACGAAAACGATGAACTGCGGAAATTGTATCCCAAGTGGGAGTCATCACTCAAGAAGTCTGCATTTACGTCTCGATCACTAGCCGGTCGACAAAATCCATCTCAAAAGCTTGCTTATGTATCTGTGACTATATGTTCCCCGAATGCAGATGCGATACAAGTGTATGTTGACAGTAGCCAGTTTCCTGAAAGGAATCAAAGTGCCATGATATCGATCAATGAAGGAGTTGCACTTGGTACATATCAAGCTGATGGGTTACATGTCGCAATTAAAGCTACTGATCCTCCTACTCATAAGACGAATTACACTTATGAGATTGGTGTTTCTACAGCAGGTGATGAAAAATTGAGTTGAATTATCTTTCTATTCTATGGCTTGAATCATAACGTATTAATACCTGCGAATATCGATAATAGGGTTCCTGTACAACTTGGATATTACAGAAGGGTTTCACCTGGACGATACTGACGGGTCTCACGCTTTGCTAACAACAAAAGTGGTTGGCGCGGCGGGTAATTTGGATAAGTATGGAGCAAGCCTAGCTATCAATGGATCTCTGAATCGTCTTTCGCACTCACTTTGTGCTATCAAGTTGTTGGCTACAGGAAACGTCCCACAAAAGAATGCGACAAATCGAGGCGACGGACAAGTATCATTTTACTTTCAGTCGTTGAATGTTCGTTCACAATATGTTGCTTATTTATATTCGAACGAAGGAAATACAGAGACACTGTGGGCGCCGACATTTTTGCAAACGAAATCCGGTAAGTCTCAATTATGATAAAAATTACTATAAAGATGATCACGATCAAGCGATAAACGTTCTGGCATTTTCGATCATTGTAATAGTCTACGACACTGATTACAGCATCACGTTTTCATCATATTGTTGCCGCTGCAACTCGATAGCTTGCTAACATGATTTTTCTCTCATTCACACTGAATAGTTGCTGGGTGCACCGTGATATATAATCTTCCCTTTTGTGACAAAGTAGCGTACGCAGTGCCGGCAGGTGCTGGAAAAACCTTCAATGATATCGTGGCATTCTACGACAACCTTGCCAATAGCACGTTCCAGAACTTTACAGATAATCTTCGTCAGTTTCCATGCAATGAATCCTCAACCCCAGCCTCTTACTCTCTAGTACGTAACTGCGATGACTGTAGTGCAGCATACAAAGACTGGCTCTGTGCAATTGCGATACCTCGCTGTACTGATAACAATGCGGCTAATGGAGTGTTAAGGCAAGGGAAACCTCGCAATATTTTGATGGAGCAAGCTCAAGCAAATTTAAGTTTTAACGATTATAGAGAAGTATTACCATGCATAGACTTGTGTTATAATGTGGTGCGGTCTTGTCCTGCTTCCTTCGGTTTTGTATGTCCTGTGAATAAGACGCTTTTTAGTAGTTATGGGGAGAGGTTAAAGGATGGATCTTTTACCAATGGGACAAACCTTTTATGCAATCCCATGGATCTGGATTGGGGTTTCTCTTCTGGGGTTAAGAGTTTTGTACGGCAATGGATAATGTTGTTTACTATAATAGTGGCGGTTGCAATGTTGTTATAATATGTACATCTTTGATTAATTGTCTGTAAACATCTACCGACTGTAATACTAAATACATCAACTATCACGTAAAAATGTATATTTATGCGATTGGGCGTTTACACATATATAACGCATTCTACTTTCTATAATCTAATGTTGAAATTAATATGGATAACTGACAAAGGGGTAGGAAAAGCTAATCTTTGTCATCTTCATACTCTTTCTGGATAATTCTGCGTGCTGAAACGAAAGCAATAAAGTGAAGCTAAAATTTGGAAAGCACCACAACGGCAACATTTTATTATACTTTTTCGTTTCTTCAAGAGGATGACAAGGCAATCGAGCGGTTGTTTAAACAAAAAAGCTGAATTAGTTTTTTTTTTTTTTTTTTTTTTTTTTTTTTTTTCAATTCCATAAACTCTTGTCACTTAATAATTTTCAACACATCTAAAATCAATTTAATTACTGGCAATTATAGATACAGTATACGACGCGAACGATTTGTGGGTAGAACTAGATACATATGCCAACCGAATAATCGAAACTTTTATGACAGTGAGATGGGGAGAAGTGCTAAGATACAATAAGAGCGTAAAAGCAAAATAATTATACCGTATTGGTAGTTACTAAAAATCGGAATTCATTATTATTGAAATTAAAAACACTAATATTTCTTGGCAGTATCGAATGCGACATGTTTGATGGGGGGTTTTTTGACGTACTAGTACGTTCTTATTAAGCATTTTAACATACAGTTAATTGAACATAATTTTTATTGTTATAATACTGATAGACTATATCAACAATTATATTGATATAAATAATAATTTATGCTTTTACAATTATTTAAACCTGTCCTGTTGATAACCTGTCATGACGGGATAAAATTAAACGGGCAATTTTCTGACAAAATTCAAACAGCTAATCTGATCATATTGGTCCTCTCTTTCTAGGAGAAAAAAAAGTCTGACCTGAATGTTGCCTTTTTTGGAGTAAATTACTATGGCGTTGGAGTAACAGTGACTGTTGAATGGAGGGAATCGATTTAAGGCAAAAACTTTAATATACCAGTTGTGTGAACTGCTATATGCGGTCGCGTTGTGTTCAATTATTGACGAGGAATATTCTCAATTTAGCTCATAACACGGCTTGCTAACGTGTCCACTTCTAATGTCGAAGGCGGCTACCTACATATTTCCTATCGCTGGAACATACAGTAAGTTTATTACGCTGGTTGCTAACTTACTAAATACAACACCTTCTCGTTTAGAATGCTAGGTTTAGTCACGTCTTTAAGGCGATTTCTTCTTGACTGGAATATTTCAGCGATAGCCTTACCGCTAGCGACTTAAAAAAAACTATACAGAACAGCAACTGATATAATTCATCAATGGAAGAAGTATAGGCGATATTACTTCGATTGGTTGACTAGAACGTAAATTTGTCATCTTCTTTTCAAAAGTAATTTACTTTTACGCAGATTATACAATTTCACTGCTTAATCGAAGTCTTTTATTTAATTATTGAGACCTTAACAACACTACATACACTCAACAACAACGGCAACAATATTGAACGGGACTTTACGATCCTTATACCGCATAATAATTGCGTCAATTAATTTTAGCTACAAAATACTACGATGACTAGATCATGTCATGATTCAATTTCATTTTACGCTCTCTATTTAGATAAGCATTCAGATGAACACATTTTCATGTGCGAATTGACGCGTCGTTAATCGGATTTAAATCTCAAATATGTTATATAACCATCGTGTCGCTGTGTCATGCTTAAGAATAGATACCAGAACCGGTGCTTGTTCGTATTGTTCCTTGATACTGACGTAGTGAGTAACATACATAACCATTGTGCATGATTACCAATACTTGAATAGTGTTCGGCGAGGAGACTTATCATAGTTTAACGTATGCGTAATAGCAAGCACAACAAAAGGTAATAGAATACAACAATGTTCGCGTTAACGTAAGAAATGTGTAAAATCAGGATGACGATATTGCTTATAATCAACCTTTTTTACACCATTTGGAAATGTTTCAAATTTCAAGTTGTGATCCATGTTAGTATCTAACTTTTCTTCCGAATATAAACAAACCCAATAAAGATATACGTATGACTTAAAATGGAATTAAAGTTAGAATAATTGAATACAGTTTACACTATGTCAATGAATAAATAAACCATACTTACTGTTACACGACTGATAGTAATAGCAAATTCTATAATAATGTCATCTTCAGGTAAAATGTATTCAGTGCAGTGGTCGTGCTCAATGTCCGTCTCATATTGTATTTCTTCAGTTGATGTTTTTATTGTCATCTACAAAACCAATGTTTATACTCAGTATACAATTAGGATTAAACAATACATATTAATATTTCGATACTTACCGTCATTGTAATTGACTTCCAACAAAATGCTGAGTTTGTATTTATTTGGAGGTACTTGGAATATGGGTATTGTTACCTAATACACAATCGTTTACTAATTAATATTCACAACATTGTACAAAGTGTTAGACTATTTATATTGTATTGATAATTAACCACTTACTTTATTGGATACAATAAGGCGCAAATATTCCACATATCTATTAAATAATAAACATTAGTAACAATATTTTTATAACAATATGAATAGGTATTATTATAAATTACTTACTCTACACATCTGCCCTTATCTTCAATGTGACTTTTATATGCAAAATGTGCTTTCAGATGACCTATCATAATAATAAATATAAAGTAATTTAGTATGCAATCAAGTGTAACCCCTTACTTTTGTGCATATAGTATACTTTTTCATAGAACGCCTTTATACGCGTGTGATT